GGACCGCTATGAATGGATGACACTCCATTACCATGCTTTTAACAAGGTTGAACCGAGTGAGGAAAGCTTGGAGTCGCTCATCTTCGTGCTGCCTTATTGTGAAAAGGCTTGATACATCCTTAGCCGGACGTTTATTCCCATAGTACTGGCTTATGAACTTGTCACACAAGTCCTGGAAACTAGCGATTAAGCCCTGAGCCAAATTCTTGAACCAATTGAGGGCTGGTCGAGCCAAGCTTGTAGAGAAACACTTGCACATCAAATGATCATTGTTAGTATTTAGAGCCATTTTCAACTGAATGTGGTAGATGTGGTCAACCGGGTCGGTCGTTCCATCAAACAGAATGAAGATTGGCATGGAAAACTTCTTCGGATTTGGTGCGTTCAGAATTTCATCAGTGAACGGAGATGCAACCGTCCTTGCTGATGAGCGCAATGCTTCGTTCTCCCTTGAAAACCGTGACGGAACTCCCCGATCGGCAAATCTCCTTTCTGAACTGCGGTAGTCAAATGTTGCCATTGAAGGTCAATAGGGTGGATTAAACGATCTGTCTTCTGCAAACTCACTTTGCCACGGTGATGCAACCCTATGATCGCACGCCGGCGTTTCCTCTCTCATGATCCGTTCGCGATGTGGCTCCAAATGAACAGATCCTTCTCGATCCTCTACTTGACGGACATTTAGAGATAGATCGTCTACTATAACTTCATCACGACGTGGATCGACGCGATTAACACCTTCTGGATCACCTTGACGAACAGCATGGGATGGTAAGACTCGCTCTCCTTCTGGAGGTGGCCTCTAAATTGTAGGAGCCTCACGACGCTCCATTCCAGCGCGCAACTCTGCATTTTCTTTTCTCAAGGCTTCGATCATGTTCATCAACTCATTGAACTTCGTCTGCTAGCCATTCTCCAAAGGATTTGAGCTCTCCTCTCCGATCATCATTCTTGATCAGAGCTCTACTAACGCACACGCACCAGATCTGGACTCAAACTTGTTGAATTCTGTTCGCTACTAGCCGGATTCGAATTATTCCAGCTACAAGCTTGCCGAATTCAGTAATCTCAACAAATCACAACTGCGCAGCTCGCCGGATCAAGCACAGATCAAATCTGCGTAGATCGGACGCCAACCTATCGAAATCAACTGGAACCAAGATACGTCAAGATAGATCGCATTTCCATCAACCTTGATTTAGCTTCCAGGGATAAATTGTCTTCTTCGCAAAGTGCTTTGAATCGAATCGATTTGGATCAACACCAATCAATCCTCTCTGTTCTTTCCACAGACGGCGCCAATTGAAAGTACAAAGAATTTTCCCCAATTGTGTAGAGAGAAACTTTACACTCCCAATAATTTTTTCAACCCCTTTTCCCTCTCAATTCCCTCTATTTATAGATGGTTACAACCACTCTTGGGCTGGACCTAACTTCTTTTCTTTTGTTTGGGCTCAACTTCTTTCATCATAACATGGGATTCCGTAATGACCTCTTGGATCTGTGCCCATTCAGCGTGGACTTGCTCCATCCTGGCTATCCATACCCGACCCGTTCTTAGCAATATGAATCATACCAAGCCCGGATCATCTTTGGTGTCTTCAAAAACTAAAGATTTTTTTTTAATCTGAATAATATGGTGGCCTGAGATTCTTCTTCCCCCATTGTTTCTTACTTTCTTTTCATCTAGTTTATCATCCCCTTCATCTATATCTCCCCTGTTTTCTTCTAGACTCATCTTATCTTCTTTTTCTCATACCCTTTTTCCTCAATCAGACTTCCACAACTCGTCAATCAAAGGACCCGGAGCCTCAATCAGTCTCCCACAACTTGGTCATCAAGTGACCTAGAACCTCTAATGAAGCAAGACCAAAGAAGATTGAAGAACCCAGAGCCTCGATCACATTCTCGTAACTAGTTGATCGAAGGACCCAGTGCCTCGATCAGACTCCCACAACTTGGTCATCGAGTTATCCAGAGCCTCGAATGAACCAAGACCAACTAATCGATCGAAGGACCCAGAGCCTTGATCAAAACTCCAACGACCTGGTCACCAAGCGACAAAGAGCCTCGATCGGATTTCCACATACCGGGTCATCAAAGGAACCAGGATCTCGATCAGATTTAACAATAACAAACGAAGAGTAGTGGTAGGACTCTTCGACAACACTTGGGATGCTTAAAGATCTTGGATTGGAGGATAAGAAGTCAGAGCAAGTCTGGTAAAATGGGCCCGACTTAGGGAAGAGTGAAAGTTAAGTTCATTCCAAAGAGAGGTTCATGCCAAAGAGAGAGACCCTTACAATCACCATTAATGCCCAACTACCACATCTCTGATAAGCCGAATTTCGTTTAATGAGAGTCATGCCCATTTATCATGTTGCTGGCACTCTGATGAAAGAAAGTATGATGACTTGACAACATAAGTCTAACATTATAGACCACTATAACCTATGGGTAGGTGTGGGCTTTTATCTGATTCCCCTTCTAACTAACGGGTAATGACCTGAGTACTTAAGGCTATAAATAGAAGAGGTATTGGGGCATTGAAGGCAGAACTCAGAAGTTATCAACTTCATAAATTGCTCTTTTTTGTCCTTGTCTTTAGTAGAACTTTCCCCTACCATCACTCAACTTCTTCAAGTTGGTTTACTTCCTCTCCTTTAATTTCTCTCTCTTCTGTATCCATCATATTTTTATAGTGATATACCCATAATATATCTACTTTTAGTCTTGTTCTGAACCCTAGTACCTACAAAATCTTATAGTGCAAGGAAATAACAATTTTAGGGTCTTGATAGTACAAGGAAGTAAATTTTTTAATAATGGGTTTGAAGTGATATACCCATAGTATATTACTTTTAGTCTTGTTCTGAACCTAGTACCTACAAAATCTAGTAGTGTATGGAAATAACAATTTTAGGGTCTTGTCAAAGGTGCGCCTGGGCACACAACAGGCGCAAATGTTGCGGTTGTATGCGCCTGGAACCTAGGCGCCTTTAACAACATTGGTTACGCAGATACGCACCCAAGTCTGTTACACTGCGTCTGCGATTGCAAACCATAATTGTAGGTGATTAGCTCTGCAGTAACAGCCCTGGTATTTCTCGTAGTATTACCACAGTAACTCTCCAGAGGCGAGTGCTCCTCAACCATGGTGAATTAATGGAGATCATGGTGTGCTTTGCACTGTTAGGTTTTGGCATAAGCATATTTTATTAGAGTTCTTTTTGTATTTTTAATTTTAGAATTTATTTATTTAAAATTTTATTTTCCTTAATTTTTAAGATTTTTTATTTAGGGTTTACCTATAAAAGTCCATATGCAAAGAAAACTAAAGAGTTTTATTTAATCTGAATAATATGGTGGTCTGAGATTTTTCTTCTCTAGGTTCGTTGTTTGGTACTTTCTTTTCATCTAGTTTCTCATCCCCTTCACCTATATCTCCCCTGTTTTCTTCAAGACTCATCTTATCTTCTTTTTCTCATACCCTTCTTCCTCCCTGGTCCTCCATCATATGGCCCCAGTGATCTTTTAGAGCACGACTTGTGTTTGCTGTGCAACTTGGTTATCTCTGTCAACATTGTGGTAGCTGCAGAATTACTTCAATGACTGCCATAGTTCCTTTCCATCTACTGACATATTTGGTCTCAATGCATGACTGTCCTATAGTGGGCCGAATCCCCCAAAGGTTAGGTTTGTTCCAATTCAACCATTCCAGCACCCCCTTAGTTTGGATCATCTGTGGATAATGGATTTTGTAATCTTTTCTAAATCTGTGGAGGTGTAAGTGGATAGTTAGCAGTTAGCACATCATTGTATATATAGATATTGAGTAATCATCATTTCAGTTTTGAATTTTCAAGGTTGAAGAATTTACTCCTCTCTTTTAGATTTTCTACTGTTAAGCATGTCAAGTGTATTTTTGTTCTTCCTTCTTTGTTGTGTGGGATGACCCATTGGGCAATTTCACTTTTAACCATGGGCAGTATTGAATTGTTTGATATTGGAAGCTGGTTACTGGAACTATGCCTTCAAGGATGCAATTATTAACGGGTCTGAGATTGCCCAAGCCAGCAATAAGCACTGTGGTTATTATATCGCCTTGCTCTTTATAAATTTCTAATTCCTCCGTTTCTCTTTTCTAGTCTCTGTTAACATCTCTTATAACTTACTAAGCTATACTGAATTTTTAGTTTGGCATGCCTGAAGTGTAGCACCTGTAATTGGTTTTGTATATTCTTTTGTTATTTGCTGTCATATTTTAGGTGGTTCTTTTTTAAATCTGATACTTGATCTGATTCAATTGAGAAGTCTACTGCAGAAAACAATTCCCGTGAGTATTTTCTTTATTTGAAACTAATGTACCTTCTCTTATAATCAGTGACTTCCCTCTTTCTTTCTTCTTTTCTTCTTCTGAAATCTGAAATTCTGTGTGATTTCATCTCCTCTTGTTTTAAAAATTGTCTCTTAATTTACTAAATTAAGATCACATTGTTGACTGTAGTCATTTCATTTTGCGTCTTTGATTAAAATTGTACAAGTGCTTTGTTTTAGACATCAAGGAACAACAGACTTTGGTTGAGCTTTTGATTCAATTTGGGATGTTTTTATTTATTTAGGCAAACATGCTTGAATCTTATCCTCTAATAATGTACTAAAGATTAGTGCATTAAGCTTGGAGCAAAAAGAATTGCGCTCCGATCAGTTGGGGAATGGTAAGGTGAAATCAGGATGAATTCTCTGCTTGTAATTAATGGCGTGTTGCTTAGGTAAAATCTTTCTTTATCTGTGCCTTGAAACTGAACCTCTATATTTGATAGATTGTATATAGATTTTCAGGTAGTTAGAAAATATTATTATACATATTTACTTTTTCTTTTTTCTTCCTTGTAAGATATAGGTTGTCTAATGAATCTATAAATGCTGTTGATCACTTGTAGCTCTTGAACATATGACAGATGTATTTATCATTTATTGTTGTTATATCTGCTTCACAGGTGAGCCAATATACTGGAAGGATCCACTTGTATTCTTGCATTCCAGGAGTAGATGCAAGGCCAAGGCCACTTTTTGAGAATTTTCGACCAGAGGAACTGGAATCACAGAATCTGCCTGCTGACAATGACAAAAAAGTGCCATATAAATCTATCAAGGACAATCCAGCATATAGGCACGCTCTTGTGGCATTCTGCAGTGAGTGGAACAGTTTGAGGCCCATTGTACAGAAGAAATTGCTTGCTAAGCCTTTGCAGCTTCCTTTATCTATTGAATTGTGCTACTTGAATGAAAGCCTTAACCATGACAATGGGGTATGTCTGCATGACTCTACTCTTCTGGTGTTTTTTTCTTCGAACTGCACAATTAACTTGCTCACTTTTTCTTTTTCTTTTTATCTTTTCTTTTCATTTCCCTTTTTTTGAAAAGGTAAGCATTTTTTGAAGAAACAAAGACAAACAGCCTATTACATCCAGCTCAAAGGGCATACCCCTTGTAAACAAAACCAACTCATGGAATCCCCTATACCACCGTGTGGAAAGAAACCAAAATGGGGACCAACCTAAGAACAAGCACAAATACATGCTATAGTTACAAACAAGCATAACAAATAGCACGCTATTTCTTTTGAAATTTTGATTCGGCTATCCAACAAGAGCCTAAGCCACAACAGAAGAACCATCACAATTCAGAAAATCCCTATTTGGACTTTTAACACAGAGAGCTATCATTTATGCACCTGAGCACCTCTACAAGTAACAAATAAATGGGATCATCCAACTCAAGTACTTGCAATGGTAATCAGCTGCAAAACATTCCAGCAATCTGCTACAATTTAAACCAGTTCCTGTTGTTGAATAGAATAAAAGGACTATCAAAAGCCAACCACTACTACGATTTAATAAGATGCTTGCCATCGGAGGAAATATAAAACTAACCTTCATAGCGATCAAAGAGGATTCAAGAAGCCATTCTGTACATATATCAAAGCCAAGTACCATGTTAATCATTCAAAACATTCATAGGGAGATTCCACTCTCTGCTCACTTTTTATCTGTTTATACATTGTCTGTTCATTGAACTTTTCTCGCATACATTTGTCTATTTTTATGATTTATATGATTTCGGTAATATGAAAGATTTTACTAACAGGGGCTGCTGAAAGGTGGAAGCAAGAGACGTACTACACCTTTGCAGGAGATTAGCCATCCGTTACCACCAGATGCTGTGTGGAAGAAGGTCCATCTCCGTAATGGCCATAGAAAGAAAGAGAGAGAATACACTCAGGGTTGGACTGTCACGGATGAACCACTCTGCAAACTCTGTCAAACACCTTGCAAGTAAGTCCATTTTAGTGGTTTTTCCAAATAACTGCCTGTGGTAGACTCCAATTGATCCTTCTATTTCAGGAGCAACAACGCCAAGATGCCAGAATATTTTGAGGATCTTTTCTGTAATTTGGGTTGCTATGACGAATATCGCTTAAGAACTAGTAACAGATCTTTGCGTGAGGTAAGAACAGAACTTGAATCATATGCCACCTCATCCATTTGCTGAATTCTGTATTCGATTTGAAATTTTTAAAGGCGTGAGGAAGAGTATGCATGTACTTATTGCTAATAACACTGAGGTTTGCAGGAACTTTTTCAAATTGAACATGGCATTTGCACAAATTGCCGACTTAACTGCCATAAACTTGTGGAATACATAAGACCTTTATCTTTTACGAAGCGACAAGAGTATGTTGAGAATGCAGCACCAAAGTTGGCAATGCATAAGAAATTGTGAGTTTACAATTAGTTACTTTGAATCTCTTAATTGCAGGAGATACACTCGTTTTTTTTTTTTTTTCCCCGGTAAATAAGATACACTCATTTTTACGGTGCGTACAAAGTATAAATTTTGTGTCTTTGTTTATAACAAAGGTCAAAACTATATCAGCATTACTAAATATCTTTATTTGACAGTATCATGCTAAATATCCATCTTTATATAATAAGCATGCTAGACCTGTAGCAGTATCATGAAATTGACATTCTTGAAGCTGCAAAGTATAAGATTGTTCTTATAGCATATTTAGAATGGCAAATGTCCGTTTTGTACGATAGCAATGTGTGTTATGTGGTGATTTGCTATTTTTAGGAATACTTCATTTGTGTTCTGTCCGTGTTGCGCGTACAAACTCCTAATGTGTTCAATGGTCCTGCATTCTCTATAAATTTAACATATCTATGTAAATTTCACTTGTTGGTGATACGCAACCCAGTTGAGGGTAATCAAATAGCACATATAAAAGGATATATATATTTAATTTTGTATAGAATAATACATTTTTAAATTAAGGTTTATAAAAGTATCCACGAATTGAAAACCTGACAAATTTTCTATTTGACATTGTGCAGACTTGACAAGCTTGTCCATGACCCGACTGAGGGCAATGCTTGGCATGCTGACCATATCATACCCGTCTATCGAGGGGGAGGTGTGTTGCAGTTATATATATGATTTTTCTTGTTCAAGGAATTTTTGGCCGTATTAATGTTTCCATATGGTTGGACCTAGGAATTAAATTTCAGCTTCTTGCCATAGACTTTGCTGAGTTAATATCTGATCAGCATGCTCTTAACTTGGAGAATAACAGTTATTAGTCTTACTGGCGTTCCTTGTCAAAATTGTTTGGCTTAGGAGCAGAAGAAATGGTCCACAGCTTTCCCACCTAGTATAAACAAAAATTTCAAACTTTTCAATATGATATTTAATTACATTTTCTGATTTCCTGCAGGTGAGTGTAGGTTAGAGAACATGAGGACACTTTGTGTAGCTTGTCATGCTGATGTTACTGCTGCACAACGTGCAGAACGGCGTTCAACTAGGGTCAAGGCTAAGAGGCAACTTACAGTCTTAATTAGTGCCCAAATATTTCGTCAGAACACAGAACAAAGGGACTCTAATCCAGAGGTCTGGTATTCTTCTAGAAAGCATTGGTTTGTCCTCTATGTTTCAAATGAGGTGTTCCACTGTTTAGTTTGTTATGTCTCAATTGTTTTGGACTGTCATTCGGTTATCATTTGTGTTAGTTATATTTTAATGATAATAATAATAATAAAGTGTATGCATAATATGCATATTAAACAAATTCTCTTTTGTCAGAAGGCCGAAGCAAAATAATTTCCAATATAAACAAGAATCAATATCAAATAACATTATAGATTTGTATATATATGACAAGTTTGTAACATCACTGGGGCCATATGATGGAGGGCCAGAGAGGAAGAAGGGTATGGCCATATATTTAAATCTATATATGACACGTTTGTAACGTCAGTGTATATTTATGTACAATCAGAAGTTTTAAGTTTGTGATCCATCCTCTCTATTGACATTTTATCCCTTTAACATTATGCTATTAATCTCAGGACCAAGGTCATTTGGAGATTGAGGAGAACATAGTTGAAGATGAGCTTTTAATCGAAGTTCCTGGGAGTGCATACTCTATAGTAAAAGACCCTGTTACTAGCAATGAAGAACACAAAAGACCCTCCAATACTCGAGAATTTAATGACCCTAAAGGCGATGAAGCATCCTAGAGCAGTCTCTTCACCATCTTTGCTGCATAATTCATCCCTTTCTTGTTTTTGTTGTATACTAAGCATCCATTATTATCTATTACTTCTTGCCCTTGACAGCCAACTCATCTCTGTAACATTTCTGATATATCTTGTATTATTATTGGGTGTATTGCAAAATATGTGCCAGACAAAATTACGTGCACTAAAAAGGTGGTTCCATGTCACTGCACAATCAACCTTGAATAGGGGGCAATGTTGTTTTGAGAATGTATTTATAATTCAGAGGAAGTGGCCAGTAAGTCTTGCCAGTTGTGGTTTAAAAGGCATTGTTCACAGCTACAGATTCTATATACAAATACAAGATTTTACATTTTTTTGCTAATTGTTACAATTAGTTATAGTTTCGCAACCGTTTTCTAAGGTTTTTGCATGTATATATCTATGATGCCAAACTGTTCTATTGTGGGATGTGAATTGTTGAAATTCCAGACGCACTTTTGCAAAGTCAATTGGAGGCTTACAGAAAATGATAGGCACAATTAGTTCTACGAACCAAGTGCCAAATTATTATTGTTAAGGTCCAAAATTCAAATCAAAATCGATTCTGTAAATTCTATTATTCATCATCATTTTTGTCCTAATACTATATGAATGTGGTTGGAAATATGAATTCTCTTTTCTTTTTTTTTTACGCCATTTCACCTATTATATTTAAGTTTTAAAGTCATTTTCAATAATCTCATTTTTCTCATGTTTGCTACATGAAAGTTTTGTTCCTGTTTCCATCTTTTCATTCTTATATTTGTTGCACGAAAGCTTGTTTATTTTTTCTTTTGTAGTTCTTTTTTTGTTCTTCTGCTATAATGATGAAATTTTACCTGTTTGAATTCGCTACTATTTGCTGTAAATTCACCATTATAGTAAAAAAAAAAAAAAAAAAAAAAAAAAAAAGAAAAGAAAAAAATTCATCCTGATTCCAATTTAGTGGAGGACAGTCAAAAAAAAATATATAAGTGCACATGATAAAAAGCTTTTACCGTGTAATGAAGGACTGCTCTAATATCCGAGTTATTTTAAGTTTTCCTATAAACAAGCAGCAAGATGTAATACCAATATGAAATAATTAAACACCGTTCAGTTTGAAGAGTGAATCATTTTGCGCATTGCAATAGAAAGTCAAAGAGTCAGTCCTGCCTGTTTTGGTCAGAGAAATTAAATCAACACAGCTTAAAATACTGATCCTGCAACCTTATTTGTCACTCATGAAATTCAATGAATGATACATCGTTGTAGCAAGTTCATATGTAACTACGGATTTTTCAACCATAATTAAAAACTTCGTCATGACCGGCCTCAACATCTTTGAAATGCTGTTTTGGCACTTGACAGGAGACTACTTTGTTCAAGCTTTGGAACCATGTAGTTATTTGTTTCTTAAACATGTTTTCGAAGTCTGTAAAAAGTGAACTGCTTGCGCAATAAAGTGTCTGACTAATCTGCTAACCCATCAATTGTAGTTGAGTCAAATTGGAGAGTAGAACTACCCTACAGCACGTGCTCCAATGCCGATATCACCACAGAAAATCAAATGTTAAGCAAGTCTTACCTCATAAATGATCAGTCAAACTGTTCAACTCTTCCGAAAAGAAATTCTCTGCTCTATCAATGAAGCTTCCAGGAAACCTTGAGTGAAACATCAAGGTAGAGGAAGTTTCTGAAGCTGACAAATTTTTCTTCAGAGCCATTTCTTCATACGGTTTTATTGATTTGCTGTCTTTCTGGTTTCGCATCTTGCCGGTTCTGGTGCTGTTTCCTGAAGCACCAACCTTACCTGAAGAAATCCTGAGACTTCTCCTGGATCTAAGATGGATGTCACCTTGAATTTTTCTAGATTCGGGACCCAAGTTAAAAGATTCAATAGAATAGTTGGTTGTAGGACTATCTAGTATCAAACTGGATTGATGTGCAGGCAAACTCCTTTTACAAGATCTTAATAGGGAAAGAAGCATATCCGTACTGAGCTCTTGCTGAACAACACCTTTGTTCTGTTCACACCCAAAGCAGGCAGCAACTAGTGTGCCAGCCAAGACTGGCATCAACTCAGGGTCACTGAAGAATACAAAAGGCAGATCGCATACCTGTTCTTCCAGCTCAACATTCAGATTTTTCCAATAATCATTCGAAAAATAAATAAATAAATAAATAAACTACTACTTTTGTCAAATATCCACTGACCTTGTGAAGGATGGTAGGGCTCTTTCCCCATCGAAGGACAGCTTGATTCTCGGGGTGGAACAAGGAAAAGTAACCAAGAAGCAATAAAGACTCGAGCAGAAGCAAACCAATCTGAAATATGTTATACAGACAGCACATTAGCAATTAGCACACCTGCCCATAAAATTTCTCACACTGTTAAGCAACCTACATGCGACCATGAAATAATACAACTAAGAGTTATGAATTGTCTCATCTAAACTCAATGCCTAATCCGGCCCATTTGTTGAAGATCTAAAACCATATTTTAAATTAAGTTGGATTGTGTAATTGAAGCACAACCTCAGCGGAAGCTTTCTTAAAGGACCAAGACAAGGAAGGCGGACTCATTCATCCAAAAGAGTCGAGACTTTTATTTAGTTATATTCTATTTTTTGAAAATGATATATTGATGAAAGCATGTAGATGATGTTGGGATAGTTTGGAGTTACACTAATATTCTTTGCACTTCAGATGATTAAACTTCACTATTTCAAGTACCATTTATAGATTTGATGGTCAATAACAATTAATTCTCAGCAAGTTAAATTGTAGCACTCAGGAACTTTGTGGGAAGTTATTGAGTTAATGGATATTGTTCATCCTACCCTAGCAACTTAATGTTTGCACTACTTTGGCATTGAATCAGTAGAGATTTATTATCCAGCTTTTAGAAATGGGCATTCTTAGCGATGCTGCCCAGTTTTTAGTTTTCTTAGTTCTTGTACTCGGTTCCAGAGAGGGTTACCTCTCTTTGTTGTTGCTGTTGCTTTGTTGTTAATTAAATGATAGATACTTGGGAGATAAAAAGAAAAAAGAAAATAGTGGCAGGCAAAGAATCACCTGATCGGTAGCTACTTTCCACTTGCTTGTGCAATGTGAAAGAAGAAAACTCATCAAATGGAAGAATTCCATTTTCAGGTCTGGCCTAGCCTGTTACAAATATAAGAGAAAAAGAAAGACAAATTTGTAAAAAACATCACAGAGATTCAAGTGTCTAATGGACATTATAAAAGAAGATTCAAAATGAACCTACAAGAAGTTGAAACAAGAATAACTTACTAGCATTCTCTGCATGAAAGTAATATCTATCAGAGCCAAATTGTTCAACACCTTCAACACTCCAGTTGCTACTGCTTCAAAATTAGATGGAAGCACATATGAAACCTGAAACAGAATACAATTCATCTGTAATTTGCAAATGCCAAAGTGCGAGTCTCTGGTAATTTAATGCTCATCTAGAAAGATTTAACACTAATAATAATTATAAATACTTGTACTACATTACGATTTATATAGTCCAACTATTTAGTGACAACAACGTCCAGATGGCGCAAAACGTTTTACAAAAATCAGACACAAAGAGAGTATGAGATCATTTCATCATATTATGACAAGTGCAACAAAAATAACTGTCCTCAGAGTTATACCAACTAGTCCAAAAAAGCAACAAATCAGATTCCATCACTGTGGCCCATCATAACGAGTCCACAGCAAATTAAACTCAACTGGCAAAGCCTTTTCCCAGCTATTTGGGGTTTGTCTATATGAATTGTGTTTCACAATTCTACTCTATCTAAGACCACAATCTTGGTGAACCACACGATATCATAATATATTTCCTCACCATTTTAACCCATGTTAGTTTTGGTTTCCCCTTTCCCTAGCATTACAATGATGACGGACCATATCACTTTTCCTCATCGGTGCAGTTATGACCATTTTTCCACATGGCCAAACCATTAATTAATATTCTCCAATTTTATCTCCAATCAGTACTATTTGTGTGTGTGATTTCCTTAAGCTCCACTGTTCTAGTTAGTCTTCCTCGCCTCATAAAACTGTTGACTATGTCACCCACCTCATTCCTCCAAGATGCCCCACAAATATGTGATAGGGATAGTAACTTTAGGCCAGAAAGGACAAAACCAGTACCCAATAAATTCAGAAATAGTGCATCTTGGGTTGCAAGAGATGGACCAGCTTGAAGACACTGTAACCAACACTACAAAAAAAATTGAAAAGAATGGGGAGAAAAACAAGAGTTAGGAAAGTGCCAGTAGGCTTACAAGAGTTCTGGTGTGAAAGTCCACTCTCTCTCTCTCTCTCCCTCCCTCCCTCCCTCTGGAGAAGGGGCCTGTTATGGACATTGGGGTAGGTCAATCCATTTTGAGTACCCAGCTTGGCAAATTTCTAATTGATGACATACAATTTCAATGACACAAACTTGTCAGTGTAAAACAAGATGACTCAAGGAACAAACTGCAGAGGGGAGGGAGTGAGGATAATGCTGCATGCTAGCATACTTTTCCCTACCTTCTCGTATTCTTCCAGCATAGTAGACAAACATATGCATGTGCAGGTGTCCGTGCGTGAGAGAGAGTGAGAAGGGGAGAGAGAGGGACAGAGAGATAACACAGAATCCTGTAAGATCTATTTTGAAACCAATATAAAACTGCAAATATTGGTCTTCAGTGTTGAAGTTCTGTAAATGCACAAGGTTAAATGATAAGAACTGAACTTTCTATAGACTTGTATCTTGATCAAAAAATACATTTGTAATTAGTAATACTCTCAATCTCAGTTAACAGCATGCTGTTTGACAAAAGAAGACCTTACAAACTAAGATTCATAAGTTGACTAAAAATAATTGGAAATTGTACAAGATCCCAAGATACCAAATCTGCGAGAATCTGAGAGCAGTCAACAATTGAAGTTGTTATGAATCATGATGCAATAAGCTTATGACCACACATTCACATAGGTGTATTTGCAATTGACAGCAAAAATTACCTGTTCAGAAGACGATCTGTTGTTTGCTTGTAACAGAACAGCTGTCAACAGGGAAGGAAGACAGACTAAACCAGTTTCAGATATGGCAGAAAGAAGAAATGCTACTGGTTGCTTCAAGCACAACTTGTTTTCATTCTTTTGATCTGCACCATTATCGACAGAGCACTTCTCATCCTTCTGAGAAACAGAAGGTTTGGCAGTATCATCCATCCGCATACTCTGAGGCGCATTCGGAATATCTGCAGTGTCCATTTCAGTGCTATTTAACTCAACTTTATCAGAATTCTTGTCAACAGTTACCAAGTCATCATTTCTTTTTGTCATACATGATTCATCTAAGGGCCTATCTTCTGGTACATCTGGCAAAGGTACAGGCATGCCATTTAGTGTAGATAATGTAGTTCTATAATCTCCTTCAGAGTCATATACAGATGAACTTCCAAAATCTGCAGCCTCTGCCAGTTTGACTTCTTGAGTTTTATTTCCTGGAACAGTTTCAGTTGGAAAAGATTCCCAATCAATGGAAGAAATGGTTCTGGATCTGGATGTTAAAACTGCCAACAGATTTATGCCTAAGAGAATAGATGAAGGAAATGGTGACCCTTCCACCTGTGGCCTGTCATATAGTGCAAAAAGATCTCGCAGCCGATGAATAACTTGATATGCAATCACAAGCTCCTGTAAACCATCCTGCATTTGAAGTTGACCTTCATTGGAGCTTATATGACCAATGATTGTTATAACAGTCCATAAGAATCCATTCAATACTTCAGATATTGAGTCCAAATTATCAATTGATGTTTTACTTAATTGCAAGTTGGTGCCACCAGGAACATTTGATGATGCTGCAATCTTAATATAGTTCTCCAGAGCTGCCGCAAGCATGGGGATGATTGGGGGCAAGAGATTTTGTGCAATAAAATAACTCCTGTTCACAGGCACTGATAATACTACCCTCAGAAGTCTTAAAAGGTATACTGTCACCTGGCAGGCTTCAGGTTTTGATGTGTGGGAAGCTGGTAGGGCAGAAGCAATAAAGTCAAGCAGACCAGCTTGGCGCGAAGCTTGCAGCTCAGGGTCCTTTCCCTCCAAAAACTAATCCACAAATAAAAATTAGATGTGATGAACTAGAAATTCAACAAGTTCTCCAACAGATTAAATAAAGAAAAAAAATGGAAGTAGAAAATTGGCAACGTCCATTCATTCCAAGAATTTGGTTTCATAATCATCATCAACAAAATTACCACACCCATCATACATCAGATTGAATGTCATAAACTAGTATAAACATGAAACCTAATTTTTTCAAATTTTAACACAGTTGATATATTTAGAATAAGAAAAATATACAATAAGTACCTTAATCATTTCAGCAGTTATTAATCCAATACTTGCAGCCCCTTCTTTTCTTGCTTGTCGAAGTCTCTGAAGTTCCTGAAGCCATCTTCCTATTTTTGCTCTTGCAGTTCCCACAGCTGTTCTATATCCAATGCCAGCACTTTCAGGACCAACTGGAGGCTCGGGAAATTCATATTTTAGAGCCATAAGCCTTTGACGAATTCTTTTGATCCTTCTTTTCAACGAATGTTGCAATGCAACATTGCCAATTGGAAGAACAGAATTTCCTGGACCTGAGATGTTTGCCTGACAATCTTCACCACTGTTAGTCGGTGTAGATCTACCCTGACCATCCTTATTCAAAGAACGTCGCAGTAAAGGTGAAGATTGATCCCTAAAATCCATTGAAGCTCTCTCCCGTATTTGCTCCAAGTAAAATTTGCGACGCTGTTCACTTTCGCTAAGCCTTTCAGCTAATTTCTGGGCCAGGAGTTCAGCTTCCTCCTGTTGGGCTTTGGCTCTAATCTCCTTTCTCCGCATCTGTTCTATAGACTTTGCTTCACGGGCTGCACTTGATGCTTTGCGTTCCTCTTCCCTTCTTACTTGAGCCTCTTCCTTTTTTCGCTGTGTCTCCGCAAGGCGCTGCAACTTTTCAGCTTCAATGAGCTTCTTACGTTCCAAGACAGCTTCTTCTCTTGCCATATCCTCTTTCTGTTTACTCTTCATTACTTGAAGTTTCTCAGCTCTTCTCAACTCTGAGTCATGAAGTTTCTGGCGCAAAATTAACTTTTTGTTCTCTTCATTTAGCGAAGTAATGAAACGAACCTCATTAACTTTACTGCTCTCATCACCAGCTCTTCTAACAACCTGAGCCAAAAAAGCTTCATGCCGAGATTCACTACGTTGGTGACGGGCATACATTCCTTCTCGCAACTTCATGCTGCGAACAGCCTGCCATTCATTAACACGATTTAATTTCTCTGAGGTGCGCTGCAGCTTTTGAACTCTCTCATTCTCTAACTCATTTCTAATCCTCGTAGCCCTTGCATGTTTCTCTTCTGCTTCCTTTTTCAGATCTAAAGCAGTCTTTTTCTTCTTCTCAGGAGTCATTAGTTTATCATGCAAGATGCGTGCACGCTCAGCACTTTTCCTGCCCAAACCTGGGGAATGTGAAAAGCGGGAAGAAACACGATATGGAGATGCAAGTATGTCTTCCCAGTTCCTCTTCTCCTTCCAAGCATCCATGGCTTTCCAGGATGTTCCATTTCTCCTTTCCTTATCCCTTTCAGAAAGAGGAACTTGCTTCTTCAGGTGATCAACAGATTTTGGAACTTTCTCAACCATATTTTCTGACGTCTTATCTTTCTTGGGAAGCAGCTTTTCCGTTTCAGGAATATAACCATGCTGGTCCCTCTTGCTCTTTCCACTGACAGAAGCAGCAGAACTCTCTTTGAGAGGTAGTGTAGATGCACAAGTATAAGGAGTGAATGAATTCTGTGGAGGGAGACGACTATTTTGCGCTGTGCTTATTTTGCTGGACCTGCCTGACTCAACATTCCTCCTCTCTTCACTCAAGTTACGCCGACTAGGATCTAAGACTCCACTCTGCTTCCTCAACTTTAGCATTGATTCTTTAGCATTGGTTCTCGCATAACTTCTCCCAGCAGAATTCTCCAGAATATCAGCAGTTCTGCGATGTTGATTAGAACAATCAGGCCCGAGTCTTTCAGCATCATTAGCTGCGTGCATGCTAGCTCGCTCATGTTGAATTTTCCTAAAAGCCTCAAGAGATGAAGAAAGTATTTCTGCCCTGTGAGGTGAAGTTGTCATTCGCCGGACCTGCACTCAGCATAAGGTGGCTAACATATTTTATATCAGAGTACAAAAGCAATGAATAAAAAGTTTTGATAGTCAATGTAAGATTACGAAGTTTATTTCAGAAGATAAATAGCATGTGGACATATCATCCTGTCATCCTTAAGCCTTTAACACAAGCAAACAAATGGGCATATAGAAGAGTAGATGCTCACAAAAATCTCAATGAAAATGTAACAATCTCCTTATTTTAAGTCAAAGTAAGGGGAAACTAAACTCTTTTATCAAGGATTGTTCTTAGAGGATACACTAGTAAGGAGTTTCACCATTAAACATGCCTATTGTTTTTACCACTTCATTGTAAACTTCAGTACATATAGTTTCACATACAAGGAATTAATAGATGTTCTGTCAAACTAGAACTTTACATAAGTTTCAAAGGTGCAAAGATAAATTGCTTTCAAAAAATTAACAAAACGAATAATTGGATATTAATATATTATATTCAATTCCAGACAATGTCACTTTTGAAGATTGAATAAGACACTGAATTACAAACATTTGTTGTTGAATAAAATAAAATAAAATGAAGAAATATTGATAATTTATCACGTTAGGAAATTTGATTCATTATAATGAAAGGCCATTATAATTCCAAAAAATAAAATAATAAATAATAATAATAAAGATTAAAAGAATTTTCATTTGCTTTCATCTATGTAGTCTATTCCACCAGAGGGTAATGGTCCAAGGCTTCACCAATAAAAATCCTTAAAGAACAAAGAGAGTTCAAAGGATACATTATTCCTAAGTACCCAAAAATAAAAATTCTAATTGGTGTTCAATGCACAATCCCACATGTCTACAACCGTATATGCTTGATTGATGTTTAGCATTAATAATTTCAGAACAGTCTCAGCAGTAACCGATTCATTAATAAAAAATGAGGCAAGCATGCTCACCTCCCATGACAGTGCATGTGGCCTGCGATGATCCGACTTCATGGTCAACGGTGCCTCATCAATCATTTGAGGAGAGGACCTTTTTACTTTCTCAAATTCCTCCACTCTAGATTTTAGTTCTTTAAAATCAGATGCAGCTTCTTCAAGAACAAGAATGGCCTCTTTCATCTGCTCCAAATCGCATTCTAATTCACAAAGAAGATAAAGTTCATCTACAGCCCTATTAAGATTTTCGAAGAGAAAGCACCAAAGCCGTTGCCTAAACCTTTCTTTACTTTCACCAGTGTCACCAGCACCAATGGCATTTATAACTGGGCCTTTTGACAAATTCTCAAGAATTGTACCAGCCTGTTGACCCTCGCAATCTGTAGTGGAGGTCGGTACCATATATTTTCCTGGAGTTTCAGGACCATCCTTTTCAGGCGTAAGTAACTCAGAATCTTGGGATGTTACCTCTGTGATTGAACCAGCATTTTCAACTTGTAATTCGGAAATTTCTGAATCACCTTCTTCACATATAACTGCAGGTGCTGCAAGTTCCACCACCATCCCAGCCCCTTCACATATAGCACCTAAAGCATCATTATTTACCAAGTTGACATGTTCATAGGGTGCTTCCCTGCAATTTGAAATGTCACCACTTGATTTAACTATTTTTTCAGTTGTGATTAGTACTTTTACATCTTCTGCCGATACTTCATTAACCTCTTTACAGTTCTCTTCAAAACATTCATCTCTTGGAGACGATGGAAGTGTCTGGTGAAGAAGCTGATCTGCATTAATAGATATTGCCACCATTTTGTAATGTTTGGTGTCAGTGCCAGAAGAAATGCATGAATTCGAACAACTAGCATTCTCGGCCTCCTTTCTAATTAAATTATCATTCACAATATCACCGAATCTAATTTCCGCTCTAACAGTGTTTTCACGATGTGATACTGATGCGCCATCACTCAAATCACCCCATTTTATTTTTTGAATAACATCAGGCTTATCCTCTTGAGGAAGTTCTTTAGCTTCTCCAGGTTTATTATCAGAATTTATGGCATTTACGGCTCTTAACAGTGGTAACTTGGGGCATTCATTATCTTGACTAACCACACATTTATCAAGGTAATGCACATCCTTCACATTTTCATTTGAAACAAAAGTTGAATTTGCAACGCCGCCCTGGCCATGTACAGCATAATCTCTCCCTGCTTTTGAAGGCTGGCCACCAGGTCCACACTTGCCATGTGCATTTCCACCTTTAGGATTTGATGAAAGCTGACTGCGCAGAACATTAGAAGCCTGTTTTCCAGGGAGTCCCCCAACCCAACCTTGCAGGGAAAACTTTGAACTACTTCTATGTTTCTGAACAGAAACAAGGAAACAAAGGGTCAAAGCATGCCACTATTAACTGAGATGAATGAATAAATTCTTGAAATCTTATTAAGCTCCCAATACCAGGTCCTTTCACTTGGTATTTACAAGAAAAAGGTTATAGAAAAATCCTAATACACATAGCATACTGTGGAAGAATAAAACTTGCTCCACCAAAAAGAAAGTGAAGTGAGAAAAAAAGCAATGGAGAACAAGCACAGAACAAATAACATCAACAGGATGTTAAATAAAACATCAGATTAAAATTCAATACAAAAAAAGGAAGAAATTTTTTTCCCCCAGTGCATGTGGAATATGAGCCTATCTAGTATTTAAAAGGTATATTAACAAAGATACAAACAGAATTAAAGATGGTCATGTAAAAGGAAAACAAAAGCAACCTAAAGTGGCCATCAACAAAATGCATCTTTCTACAAGCCATTTGATATTTTTCCATAAAATCTCCAAATCCAACTTTGTATAGTGAACTTTGAGCAACTTCCAATAATTCTGAGCAATGTTAAAAAATAAATAAATAAACCTTAAAGCATGCCCCTGAACACTAAAATCAGTTTACCAATGTTAATATGGCACTAAAATATGGGACGATGTTGAGTTCAGGTTACAGTAACTTACGGTATCATATAGACAAAAAATAAAAGAAACATACAATATTCAGAGTATCATACATACAAAAATTAAAAGAAACCTACCAAACTTATTGCACCAGAAAATAGAAGAAAGAAAAACGAGTAAAAATAACAGAATACGTGTCAGATGAAGAAAACATCACATAAACTCAGCACCAAAAGAGCTTCTTTTTTCAGAACATGTGAAACATTAGCCAGCCAGAATACAAATTGTATGACTTACAAGGAAAGAGAGAGAAACAAAAATGATTTAATGTAGAAGGAGACAAAAGCAACTTATAGTGACTAAAAGCAAAGTAAATATTTCTCCAAGCCATAGTTGGATTCAATAATTTTCCTAATTAGCCCTATACAACTGACATTACTTATGCATGCCAATCTATCTCTAGTGATTTTCCTCACATGCAGCTTTAGACACAGCAAATTCATTTTAAAAAAGAAAATGCGAAATCTGAGGCCTGTCTATTACCCTAGATTTTGTTCAGGTTAGAAACCACTGAAAATTTCCAGCGTTAACCACTTTATTGGGTTGTCAGATGAGACCTTTGTCTGTCTATGATATTGAAACAAACATATTCAGATAAATAACTAGATAATAAGTTGAGGCAAACAAATACGAAATTATGAGAATTTAGAGGATTAATATAAAGGAATTAAATTACAAGACAAACAACCATCCTTATCTTATTATAACCAAGCTCATCTATCATCATCATCCCTGTATTTAAACCAAGCACACCCATATCCTCAATTTTCCAAGGCAGGAGGTAATACATGGTACATTTGTATTCACCCGTTTCCTAAATTCAGTTTTTGTTTTTCCCCCAAAACACAATAACTTAAACAATCAAATATAAATCAAATTATAGAAGTTCTGAAAATAAGTATGAAAAAAAAAAAAAAAGGACACCTTTTTCACTTGCAACCATCCAGAACCCTGATCATCCCCTGCTTCTCCACTGCTCTCCATCACAAACGGATGACAATCTCTCCCTCGCGGAGAAAAATAAAAGACAGTAATATACAACAAACGAAGGATCAAACCCTTCAAACAAAAACCCCTAATTTTCCACTGTCAAAATTCATTTAATTTACACAAGTTGATAACTTTCCCAATCGTATATGAAAAATTGAAATCAAATCGGGTCAATAAATAAAATCAAATGACTGAAAAGGGTGTGGTAGAACTCAAATTGTACACTTTAGGGGAATGGTAGCTCCGAGATTGAAATTAACAGCACGGGAAAAGAAATTCCAGGGAATTCGCTGAAAGAAACCATGTGGAAATTATTTAACCGATAATGTCAATTGACAATGACAACTGTGAATGGTATTTTCTAGGGTTTCCGAATTCTAAGAATTGTCTCGGAAAACCAGAAGAGGGTGTGACTTAGAAGAATGGTGAGAGCAATAATATACATACATAATATATATATATATACATGTATAAAATTAATTTTATAGAGCTGGGAGGAAGAAGACAGTGACGAAGAGGAATGTATTCTGACAGATTTCTCCTCACTTGGTTTAAATAATGACTTTTGTCTCCCAAGCGTGCAAAGACCTAGATAAAGGGTCGGTGGGGGTTAGTTCCGGTGCACGAGCTATCACTGTTGAGGGGCTGGAACCGTCAATTCTGCGAATTCTTACTTTCACATCTAAAGAGGTTGATTTTTTTTCCCCAATCCGTGACCTTTGTATTATTTGTATTACTGTGGGTCTGTGACGAATCAAAGAAAATATTTGTTTGTATATATCTCCACCATATTCAAAAAAAAAATTCATATATTTAAATTTTTATTAAATATACATTTTAATTTAATAATGAACAAGGGCTATTATAGAAGTTTTAAATAAAATACTATCCTAAATTATACCACTTTTAAATTACAGTATTATCCACTATTACAATATTATAAATTTTATTGATTATAATGATAAAAATAATTAAAACTATTAAAAAAAAAAATTATTTCCTTATCTCTTAAAGAATTATTCTCTTCTCTTAACAAATTATTCTCTTATATTCAATCCAATTGAAAAAAAGGAAGAGGAAATACACACTTCCATCCCTTTTTCTCACTTCCAAGCAATTTTTTTTTCTTTCCTATGGAACGAAGTATAAAATTCTACCATCTGAACAACTTTATGACCATACCGATACACATTCCACACTTTTACAAAGTGTAATGCCAAGTCAACAATTGTGTTGACATGACTCTATGTATTTTTTTAAGATTTCTTCGTGTCGTTGCATTCTTCTCATACTCTACACTTATTTATTTTATTATTTTTAAAATTTTTGCACACGATCACTTTATTTTTAAAATCAAAAGTACAAAACCATTTCGTCAAGTGTGAAATATGGTGTGAACCTCACAAATTGGAGAAGCTCGCACCAAGGGTCGAAGACATACCATTCTCCACACTAATAATATCCACTTTGGCTTGCACTGTGAATGTTCTTAGAGTTTTTATAATCTGTCCCTTTAGAAATTAATTAGTATAACATTTAATTATAAGACTTAAAACCCAACAAAAATTAAAGAGTTTGTATTGATCTTAAATTAGTAAATACAAAGAGTTCAAATCTGACACTCCAAAATTCACCAAAGATACTAATTCATTAAACTATCAAGACATCTACTATTTACAAGAGCATATTAAATAAGTTACACGAGTTATAAAATGCTATCGATTTGATAAACACATCAAATATTTGATCCCATTTAATAAATATGTTTAAATGAGTCATAAAACATCATTATTTCTTACATTATTCATCCCATTACTCATGTAACATAATACACTTTATTTAGACACAACAACGACTTGACTTGTTAACACAAATTGATTATTCATCCCATTACTCATATAACATAATACACTTTATTTAGACACAACAACAACATAACTTGTTAACACAAATTGTCACCTGCTAACAGTCTCTTAATTCAGATTATTTTTTTAACTATATTTTCAAAAAAAAAAAAAAAAAAACAATTAAAAAAAAATCTGTGAAGTTATAGTGAGACCCAACTCATCAAGGATTCAAGTGCCATTTTGAGGAAAGTAACGAAGGCAAGCCTGCAACGAGACCAGTCCAAGATAGAGATAGGCTAATGCTTTGAACCCCACATATGTGATATATGTACCCTGGCCCAAGACGTTTTATATTCTGACCAAGAATGTGAAATAGTGCAAGACCCTGTTTGCCCCTATAAGACTAACAAGTGGGAATATATATATTTTTTTCTTCATTATTATAAAAACATTGGGGCATGATGTGACACGATGAGGCAATGATACACGAAAGAAAAACCAAAAAAAAAAAAGAAACCACGGATATCTGTTGTGCACTAAAAGGGAAATTGAAAAGGATTTGAATTGTGATTCATTTTACATTGCCATACAATATGATTCCTGGTTCTCATTTTCAATTCCCATAATGGGATCATATCCCAATTTAAATATAATGGCACTGCTACTAATATATACTTGCATGAAAATTTTGACCTCGTAACAACTCAATCTTTAAGGCATGAAATAGGAATTTAAATTCTCTCCATTGGAATAATAGAATCCCTATTTGGTTTTGTTCAAGATGCACTTCACAAAAAAATTGGAATGTTTAATAAATAACTCAAATTTTTTTTAAAGTCCATCCGGAACTGGACAAAACAAGAAGTACTATTCACATGAGTGGTTTTGTCATTTGTGTGGACTCAAGTGACTAGCCCAGCACATGTGTGTCGATACGAGTCCACCCTCCCCTGTTTGCAAAGATGATAATAAAAAAAATTAAATTAAATAAAAAATTTAAATCCAAGTTCATGTCCATCCATGCTGTAATTAGTGTTAACAACATTATTAAAATAAGGAAAATGCTAAACATCACAAATTATTGTATCACAGAAGTAGCTCGAACTATATGGTGATGATATGACAACTTTGTGGCGGTTGATATGGCAACTTAACTTTGTGTATTTTGAAAGAGATTTTGTCAAGAGAATACATGGTAGGATGAGAGAGAAAAATAGAAAAAAAAAATTTATTTATAGTAAAATCTGAACCCCAAAATAATTCTTTCAAAACGTTTTAAGGGTTAACTATTTCTCTTCAATAAGAACCCTAATTTTCTCAATTATTTTTGTACGTGTAAATAATTTGATAAATACATAATTCACTTAAAACTTCTTACAACTATATTTCAAGTCTTCTTTTTCTTGAATAAGAACCCTAATTATTTCAACAATCTACACATACATGTAAATAATTTGATAAATCGATAATCAACTTCATATTTATCATAATTATAAAGTCGAGAATGCATAAGAGAATATATTAATAATAATAATAATAATAAATAGAGAAAAGAAAATTTGAGAGTTCGTCTTCACTTCTCGTTCAATGGGTAATTCACACAAATATATGTACACACACATGAGTAGAATCATCTATTAATCTTTGAATTTGTCTACTTTCTTAATTTAAGTATAACTTGAATATGTTAATACTTCAACAAAAAAAAATAAAGAAAGTGAAATATCTATTAAAATTGAGGATATATTTGTCATTTTATTAGCACCACATCATATTCGAGATACATACCCAAAGCTTATTTGAGACGTGTAGCTCTTAAAATAATTCATAACCAAATATAGTGTCTCTTAAACAATATCTGCATGGTGCGTATTCACAGGGCGGAGCCAATATTTTAATTCAGGGCACAATGTAAAAAATAAAAAATAAAATAATCCCGTATAGATTTTTCAAATTAAAAGAAAAAAAATTATTATAAAATAATACGCTAATAAACGAGTAATATAAGAAAGATAAATACTTGACATGATTCTTATACGGAATAGTTATAGACTTATAGTGAATTACTAGACCTACTCTTTTAATTGGCCAATTATGTAACAAATAAGGAAATAGAGTCCTCCATTTAATTGTATTTGATATAAATAGTCAATTAAAATTATTCGATTAGGCAATTAACTGTAATTGTTCGGTGCGAGTATCACTACTCTAACTAAAATATTGGTTGATAAATATTTTCGCAAGTTTTTGTATTTTGAATGCAATTACACTCATTACTCATTGAGTTTATAAAATTACAATAATAAATTTAAATAAGAAGAAGAAAAATATAAAGAATAAGAATAGAAAAGGAAAAAATATAAAAAATATGAAGAGAAAAAAAAAATTATTTAACAATATAAATCTTTGAGACCAATATTAAGATTTTGTTTGAGGAGGAAAGAGAGGGAGAGATAGGATATAAATATTTGAAGCCCAATATTTCTGTATTGGTTAGTGTTTAAATAAAAAACGTGAATGGGGATAGAAAATAAAAAGTTATTTTGAGATATAAATTTTTGTGGTCCAGTATTAAATTTCTATATTGATTAGTATAATTATAATATAACAGAATTTTAAAATTTTAAGACGAGGCCTAGGTGACGCCTTATGCCCAGAGCCAAAGTGGTATTTTTTTATACTTTTAAGTGAATGGGGAGGTTCAAATATCAAGTAGCCGGGTGCAGGGTCAAATTGAGTTTGATCCATTTCATTGCCTACACAAACCAACCAAAGATTTGATTGAGCCACGCATGTAATAAAGGTCTAACAAGCACGACTTTGTCTCGAAGTGGTTGAACCTTTTGCTAATTGAAGCTGCATTTGTCACTGTGTAAAAAGCATCTTGCTTTTCATGTCCAGCTTCAATGTCAAGCACGACTTTGTCTCAAGGTGGTTGAACCTTTTGCTAATTGAAGCTGCATTTGTCATTGTGTAAAAAACATCTTGCTTTTCATGTCCAGCTTCAATGTCAAGCAATCAACCAAATGCTACAATTTGAGAGTTGATCAATTAACCAAATCGACTTGTATGACATTCGTGTCTTAGAATTGAAGCGAATTAAGTATTCTTAAATTTTAATTTCAAAAAATTTCATACAAGGGAGAATAACAAAAATTAAATTGCAACTAAGATTCAACAAAATTTGTAGTCATTACCCAATTGGTTGTAACTATTTGTCATATGCTTGAAAAGTCCAATAGAAATATTGGGCCTAGAACTCAAGCCCAAAAAGAGGGCTTCACTGAAATGCTTCAATGGTAATTATGAAATTTATATGATTTGTGTTTGTAGTAGTTGATCAACACAATGAAGTCTTAGATTTTGAAACCTACAACTCTAACAACTCAGAAAGTTTTTAATCAAAAAATGCTCTTGAAAATATCAAGAACAACCCCTCCTGCTAGGCTGCTAATATATATAGTATATTGCCTTACTTTAACATGGCATGCCATGCTCTACTGAAAATTAATAATAATAATAATAATAATAATAAGGGTAAAGTACAGAAAACCCACCTCAACTTGTAATCTTTTCTAATAAACCCTCCTCATCTATTTTTTACCAAAGAACCCCCTGTAGACACTAAAATTTTAGTGGGCTTTGGTTTTGA